TTTTCCTCTTTGCAGTTTCATTTTGGAGAAAAAAAAGACGATTCTTTAGCTGGTTTGTTGTTTCACATAAAGATGCATCAGTATCCCGTATTCAGCGATGAAATTAAACCATAACTAATATTTTGGGTTTACAATAAAACCAGAGTTTCCACCAACCAGAGCAGGATGGGAATCTTAGAGATGAGCAGGATAGGATCGATCTACAGCAACACAAAATGTACAAAACTTACATGTTTTCCAGAAAATGATCAGTTCTGCCTCTTCTGAGCTGTTTTAGGGTCTGTCTCTTTCAATCCACTCACACATTAAAGTGGGTATAAACAGATACACAATTATACAACCGTACATCTTTGAAAAGCATTACTGGAGCCTCCTGCACAACCAACCGAAATACAGCAAGTGGTTTCTGGATAACGAGTCAACAACTAAACTCTTGTCGTGTCCAGCAGCCATTGTACAGGGCATAACGCAGGAAAACCAACTGGCAAAACACTGGAGATCAGCAGCAAGAAGCTAACATTGCTTTAGCTGCTAAGTCTTAAATGTTCACCTGATATATAAAAGAAAAATAGACGTAATGCTTTGATGTGAATGGTCAACAGTAGGACAACTAGAGAAGACCAAGAAGAAATAGTGAGAGAGGAAAGTAGCTCAGTTATGCTAGCTTGACTATGACAATCTTAACATGTAGATGTGCTGTGGAATTCCGTGTTTCGGTTCTGTTAAAACAGAAGAGGCGACCTAAACACCAAGTCTGACAGACCATCAGCAGAGCAGGGTTAGCTATTAGCTAAACTGAGTTAGCTTAGCTAATAGCAGTGGTAGCTATTATTACTTGAGTGCAGTGAATAATAAATCTGTTATTCACTGCACTAATGTAATAATCCTCACATCTCCATGTTTCATTTAGCTAACGGTTCTACAAGATGCAACAACGTCTATAAAATCAGTTTCCGAGTTGATCTTTTGTTTCCTCACCTGCCTAAATCAGAACAGTTGACCTTTGACCTGCTGTCTGTCTCCATGCTTGTCGTGTCGGGGTTGCATGAGTTTTGCTCTGAACGGTTAGCATGTCGCTATCAAGGCAGAGAAAAGTCTCTGCAGCTCCGACTTAAAGCACAGATACAAGAACAAAACATTTAGATCAAATACCAAACAATGAGCTGAATACTTCATTATTTAAAGCTTTTAAATAGCTAAAAAATTTACCTTTGTGTATATGGAGAATTAGCAAATAAAAATGCAAATAATTTAATTTCTTTTTTAAACAAGAAAACATTTATTGCCTAAATTGCGACAGTAGTTTCTTTAGCGAACAGTTGTAGCCAAAAATCCTTCAACATATGAAAAACTCAGACCTTATCAATACAGCTGATCTGTTTATTTAATTAACCAATTATTAACTGGATAGCAAAAGGTGCTTAATAGGAATTATTCATTTCAATTTTTAGCAGAATTGGAACCAAAAACACTAAAACTTTTCGTTTGAGAAGTTTTGGTCAAACAGACGAGCATGAAGATGTTTAATTACTAAATTAGTTGACGATTATTTCATTGATCAATTAATCACAATGAATCGTTTGAGAGCAGTTGCTCCTTTAAGCCCAGGATGTTTTCGCCTCCTGTTAAATTTGTGCAGACGCAGACTGGAGGTGTTATTGTTATTCAGAAAGCGCTCCACATTTATATTCCAGCTCAGAGCCGCCGGTGACAAGCTGACAGCGGTCCGTATCGGCCTCTGATCCGCTTTCAGCAAGTGGAAAAGTACGAGTTTTAAAAATACAGCGAAGAGGAGGATGGCGAGGGCAAGGAAGGTAATGAGGAAGAAAAGAGACTGTGGAGGGAAAAGGAATGAAGTTCAGGCAGGAAGGAGGAAAACAACTTTCAATGCACTAATGAGCTCAGGTAAGAAATGCGCCACAATGGCTTCACACGCCGCGAAAAGAGAAAATTAATCACACACTTCAGAGAGATAAATCCCCCGGTGCCGTTTCTACCTCTAAACAAGAGAAGGAAGGATGATGCTGCAGAGACGGGAGAAAGGACAAAAGCGAATCAGAAGAAGCGTACATCTTGTTGTTTTCTGGTAGGGGGGGAGCTGCAGGCGTTTTTGCTGATGCTTGGATTTGTGCAGAGATTACAACCTGCAGGGGAAACTTTCTACACTCTGCAGCGGCGCCTTCAGCTGCCCTTGAAAATCCCAAAATTAGTTTTCCTCCTTTTCTAAAAGAACAAGATCAGATTAGGAGGAACAGAGGAAGACCTTGGAGATCAGGAGATTGTGCTCTTCTTCACTAAAAAACTGTTTCCTGGGAGATTCCCAGGACTTTAACTGCAGGTTTTCCAGATTATTTAATGTTTTTGCTGAACCAGGAGATTTGGTGGATGCAGCTGCAGCAATTCCCAATCATTTAATAAACATACAAAACATCATTCAGCTGAAACTTTCATTCAGGTTCAGCATGTCCTGGAAGCAGCAGAAAAACTTCAGTTTGATTCT